CTTCGGGGTTTGGGGGGGGGGGGGGGGCAAAGGAGGAAGGCGGCGGCCGAGGAGAGTGGGCGACGCGTTCCCACCCCAGGCGTGCGGGCTTTCTTCCGTGGCTTGCCTCTTTCTCTTTCTTTCCGTCTCCAGCTTGCCCTTGTTTCTCCTCCCTCCTCCCACCTCGAGCAACACGCTGCCCAGGCTCTCGGTTGCTGCTGCGGAGACGATGCCGCCCCTTCCTCGCCCTCTCGGGCCTCTTGAACGCTGAAGGAAGCCCTCTCCCCCCCCCACCCCCAGTTCGGAAGCGGCCCGTTTTGCAGCGTTACCGTTCTTTGCCCCCCTTTTCTTTTTTTTTGAAAGCAAGGGCTCTTTAAGCGTTCCTTTTGTGCGCCAGGTTTGCCATGTGAGCTGCGGCTGTTGCTGCAGCTGCAGTAGCCGTGTGCTAACATGGAAGCGTCTGTCGGGAACCTCAGGACAAAACAAAACAAAGCTCGGCCGGCCTCGTGCGTGCACGTTGCCCACTGTGCAGAGAGGCCCAATCGTTGCAGGGGAGGATCTTCGCTCGGTCCCCCAACGTGTTGTTAAAGATCCAGGCCTCGACCCTTGTTGTCTCTCCACATGCACGCGCATACATACACACACACACATGCAACCTGAGAGCTTGAAATTGCCGAACTGGGCTTGGAATGAGGCTTCTGTTTTGTTTTTCTTGTTCCACCTAGCCATGGATCCTATCCCCAATGTGGTGGAGTTGTGGCAGGCCGAGGAAGGGGAGTTGCTGATGCCTGCTCAGGTAAGGACATCTGAACCGGGGTGTGTGCATGTGGGTGGGGGGGATAAGAATGGGATGTTGAGTAGTAGCCTTAAAGGAAAAGACATCCCACCCAGATGGAGGGCTTGTTTCCCCTACAGAAGGACAAATGAGTCAACACAGCGTTGATCTGCTTGCACTCTTCCTCCTGCAGCCTTGTCCTCAACATGATTTTGCCAGTCATGGTAGTTTCAGATCCAAAAAAAGGTGGTCTGTTGGCAGAGCACCGTTTCTGCATCTCCTTGACAGGACTTTTTTTTTGTTTTTTTGTTTTGGGCTGCAGTTGCGATCTGTGTTTCAGTGCGACCTTTTTTGTCTTAATGGTACGATTAAATGCATGGCGCAGTATTTAACTGTTTAGGTGTTTTATCCTAATCTTAAGGTGGTGTGTGTAAACTTGAATGTTCCTTCTGAATCAGATTTGAGTTGTGTGTGTACGCTTGTGGGAGGGGGAATATTAATACTTAACGACTGAATTATGTGTGGTTCTACTAGAAATCTTTTTATAAATTTGGTTGCAACTTGCAACAATGAATACAAACCCAACTAAGACACCTCTGCTACATTGTTTTTCTTTAATATACTACAGTATTTGGAGATATTGAAAGTAAATGTCCTTAAGTCGGTGGCATAAATGTTCATCAGATAAATTTGTCTCGTTTTTACTAAGTTCCTTTTACAGTATTTGTGAAAAGATGCACTGTGTTGGGATATAATTTTATATATCTGTGCTGTTTTCTACCTTTAGGGTTTACCATTTATGTTTCTCTCAATGTCTCTAGTAAGGTGGTTATATACAACTAGTTAAAATAGATTTTTTCTGGAATTGTACAGATGGACATACAGTGATTTGAGACATATTTTCTTCAGAGAAAATATAATAATACCACTGCAAATTTTCTGATTTTTTTTCCCAACAGACCAAATGTTTATAAATTATTCCCATTTCAAGGAACGGTGAGATTAGATGGAGGGGGTGTAAATTTGGTTGTATTGTTTAAACTGTTTCAGTTTAATACAAATATTTTTTCTGATGTAAGCAGCTGCCACTTTGCATATCTTTTTATGGCAGTAAAAAAGACTAGTAAAGTTCTGTGAAACTGAGTGCATGGCTGGGCATAGGTTTCACTGAATCCAGAAGGATAGGCTTCTAGGCAAATATTAAAGGGATTGTTCTGCTTTGCAGTGAGATTCAGGGAAAGGCTGCATTGCTGTATTGCTTGGGATGATGGTAATTGTAGTCTCAACATAACTGGGTTTGTGAAAGCTGGATCACTAACTCTTTCTTCCATAATTGCTAGACTCTTAAGCTAGGACCATCCTCTGCTCCCTCCTTTGGACTGAGATATAAATAAAATCCTCGGAGAGTAAACTGACAGTCTGATTTCTGGGGAGAAAATATAGTACCTGAGGCCTCTGTAGATGGTGGTGGTGGTGGGCTCTGGGTGATACTTGTGCATCTGTTCCCTCGTATTTTGCTCCTTTAGCTATAGTATCCTAGAATAATGGAATTGGAAGGGGCCTATAAGGCCATCAAATCTAACCCCCTCCTCAATTCAGGAATTCACCTTAAAGATGGGTGTCTGCCTTTGGAGGTTACAAAATAGAAACATAAGATTAATCTGATATTATTTTTTCTTGCCAATCTGTGTTGGCTTCTAGTTATTACTGCATTGTTTTCAAGGGCTTTGCAGAGTGACTGCTTTATAATTTGCTCCATAATTTTCCCTGGGAATGATGTCAAGCTGTCTGGTGTGTAGTTCCCAGGTTTCCTGCTTAGGGACAACATTAGCCCTTCTCCAATCATCTGCTACTTTACCCACCCTCCATGATTTTTAGAAAATAATAGACGTCTGTTCTGAGAGTTCTTCAGCCAGTTCCTTCAATATTCTTGGATGTAGTTGACTGGGACCTGGAAATCTGAATTTGTTCAAAGTAATCACTTACTGTTTATCAGTCGTAAGCTGCGATTCTCTCTTGTACTTCACATTTGCCTGGAGGGTCATAGTCTGTCTTTCGGGAAAAGACCAAGCTTAAGTAAAAATTGAGCACTTCTGCCCTTTAATTGTCATCTGTTACCATTTTTCCATCCCAACTGTGTAACTGGATCACTCTTTTCTCTGTCCTTTGCTAAGGATCTATCTATCTATCTATCTATCTATCTATCTATCTATCTATCTATCTATCTATCTATCTATCTATCTATCTATCTATCTATCTATCTATCTATCTATCTATCTATCTATCTATCCCATTTATTCCATTTATTCCATTTATTCCATTTATTCCATTTATATTCCACCTATCTGGTCAATTACAACCACTCTAGGTGGCTTACAGCACAAATACAAAAACAGATATATAAAAAATATATAAATGCTGTTTAACATCTACATGAAACCACTGGGAGAGGTCATCAGGAGGTTTGGACTGAGAAGTCAGCAATATGCTGACGAGACTGAGCTCTACATCTCATTTTCCAATTCAGGTGAAGCGGTTTCTGTGCTGGACTGGATGAGGGTTAATAAATTGAAACTCAATCAGTTTGGAGGGCCATTTTCCTGCCCTGGGGAATGGGGTTACACTCCCCCTAAGGGACAAGGTCCGCAGCTTGGGGGTGCTCCTGGACCCCAGTCTAACACTGGAAGCCCAGGTGGACTCGGTGGCCAGAGGCGCCTTCCTTCAGCTGTGGAATTTATACCAGCTACGGCCCTACCTGGATGAGCGGAGTCTCATGACAGTTACTCACTTGTAATATCTTGCCTAGATTACTGCAATGTGCTCTGTGTGGGGCTCCCTTTGAGGATGGTCCGGCAGCTGCAGCTGGTCCAGAATTGAGCTGAGTGGCTGGTGAGTGGTGGGGCCGCTAGGGAACATATAAAGTCGATTCTGTTTAAATTACATTGGCTACCAGTTGCTGCCCGGGCCCAATTCAAAGTGCTTGTTTTGATATATAAAGCCCTAAACAGCTTGGGCCGTGGATACCTGAAGGACCGCCTCCTTCCATATGAACCTACCTGGCAGTTAAGATCTAGCCAGGGTTCCCTTTTGAAAGAGCCGTCCCTTAAGGAGATAAGAGGGAGGGCTTGTAGACAAAGAGCCTTTTCGGCAGCTGCCCCCAGACTA